GGTGACACAGACGCAGTCACTTGACTCCACAGACACACGAAGCCATCCAGACAAGAAGAAACAATCACATCTGCACAGGCAGATTGGATTCCCAAAGAACTGAAAAGCCTGCATACTGTGCACTAAACCAGCTACGCACCCACAAACCTCATCGGGTTCCCACAAACATTCATGAAATGGTCAGGTGATGCACCCAGGGGCTCCCTTGAATTGTTGATACAACAGCCCAAGTGGCATCAATAAATAGTTACTTTATTATAAAATGCAGGTATCTAATAATTTTATACAAATAAATAATGGACAAAATGGAAATAAACCAAGTAAACAATACAAATGAATTAAAATGAAACACTTCCTTCCTCAATCTTCATATTATTTTCCCAGCCTCCCTGGGCTCCAAAACTTGGCAATCATTTGGTCTCACTTTAGCCTCAATTTTTTTGTCCTATGTCCAAGTACTCTCCATATGTTGCTCTTTCTTATTAGCAAACCGTGTCCCAAATTTTCACGATGGACACTCCAGTCTAGAAGCTTGTGTCTGAATGCCTGCATCTTCATCTTCATCTTCTCCTAACTGGCTTTCTCAAAGTCCCCTCATTGCCAAAGCCTGGCTGCTACATTGTATTTTTCATGTGCCAATTTCACTTCCAGCTCTGGAATATGCAATGGCTCCCTACTGCCTACTGGATAATATCCACGTTCCTACCCTGTGTGCAGAGGCCCTCATTTACTGGCCCTGGGACACTTCTCAGTGAGGAAGCCATGCAGTCTGGCTTTGGTGATGGAGGATCTTGGTGTTAATACCAGCTCTGCCGCCGTTTACCTCTTATAAGGCTTTGAGCAAGTTCCTCCTTTCCCCTGGACTTCAATAAACTCACTTGAAAAATGGAAATAATAAAACCTACCTTGCTCAGTTATTATGAGAATTCAATATGATGCCTAACACAGTGGGTTGGCACAAGTCCTTTACATTTTCATTCCTTTGTTCTCCATCACATCACATGGGGATGCCCATCCCCCTTCCCTCTACCTCTCAAAACTCCTAATAAGTGTGGGTAAAACAGGAACAGCTGTGTGGGATCAATTGGGAAGCCTGGGGCCTTTCTAGAAAACCCCAAATTGAACCTTTCCCTCTATCTGTTTTGAAGAACAGAATTGGAAATCCCTTTCTTAGAAAATTATTTGCTTTCAAAAGCAGCCCTTGTTTGTGAGGTCCCATTTCTCACAATTCCTATGAGCAATGCAAAGGCTGATGATTCCTGATTCTCATGCATGAAATCTACCAATTTTAGCCAAGTGCCTATTAAATGTAAGATACTGAGCAAGGTGCTGAGGATGGATCCATAGTTGCCCTACATAGATTATTATCAATTATGGAAAACAACCAGGATGAGCGTGATTACAAAAATAATAGAGATGCTCAGGAAGCAGACAGAGGCAGACAAAATTCAGGTCAGAAGATTAGGTGAGTCCATGTAGAAGGAGCGCTTTTTAAGCTAAAATTTAGCTAATGAGGAGGAATAAGCTTGATGGAATTAGGCTGAAGAAAGATTTCAGGACATGGAGACCTGAGTTTTCTGAGCACAGAGAAAGCATGTGCAGAGTCTCAGTGGGAGCTGGTGCACAGGAGAGAGGGATCTGAAGTCCTGTCTGGAAGCCTGGGGTCGGTGGGAGGTGTGGGGAAGCAAGACAGGGACCAGCTGAAGAGAATCCCTTTGCTTCACAGGAAGTGAAGTTGCACTTTATCTTAAGGGCAAGGGGAGACCAGAACATGGGTTTTAATTCCGGGATTTTAAGCAGATGGGGTTTTCATGGCTGTTAAACGTACATATGGCTTTGCGAGACTTGGCATGCAGTCTGTGTGCCGTATCACAGTCTAAGCACATAGAACTTGAGGCAAAATATGCCAGGTGACCTTTCTCAGGGAAGTGTGGCTAGTGCAATAGGAAGCAGCACAGTGTGGGGAGAAGAAGGGATGCTCTGCCTTGGTCACTGGGTAACAATAACACCAAAACCCCTGGGAAGGGAGCGGGTAGTGTGGTCTCATCAGGCAGTGTCGGGACCAACAGGGACAAGCAAAGGGATCCAGTGGGATCAACCGTCACTTCACAGGAGAACTGGCCTAGATTTCACTTCTAGCCCTGTTCTTCCAGAACCCCACTGAAGGCAGAAACAGGTGCTCCTAATCATGTCCTCTGTCCTGGTCCCCAGATGCAGCCAGGTTGGCAGGGCACAAGGATCACGGATTAGGAATCAAGGGGCCTGAATGTGATGCTGTTTTCTTCCACTGACTACTTATGCGACTTAGAGCAATTTAAACAACCGCTCTGAGTCTCAGTGTTCCCAACTTTCAAAAATGTGGACTAGTTACTGCCTGTTGGGGTGTTTCTAACGACCAAATAAAAGCAAATATAAAGGTTCCTAGACTCTCCCTCGGCATGTAGCAGACATCCTGTTAAGAGGTGACTCTTACTATGAGGCCAAGAAGTCACACACCACAGGGCTGGCCCTCCCCCAAGAATGAAAATATGGAAAACAGGAGAAGAGCTCGCTCTCCATTTAGGTGTCTTAGGAGCAACTCTGTTGAACCTGAGTTCTTCAAGTGGCAGAAAGTAAATAAATGTCTTAGCTTGAAGGCAAGTGCTTGACTCTTATTTCACAGCTGATATTCACAATATGACTGCTAATTAAGTATTCATTGAGGGTTTCCCACAACACATACATAATTAAGATGTCAGGGAATGTGTGTGTGTGTGTGTAAGTGTGTGTGTGTGTGTGTGTGTGTGAGAGAGAGAGAGAGAGAGAGAGAGAGAAAGGGAGGGTAATTCTCCTATGGAAGGGTCCTTCCGTTGTAGACCATAATAATCTGCTACCTTCCTGGCCACCTATTGTCAAGCTTGTTCTCAACGTGATGTTGCTAATCTAACTCTATTTGAGGACATGATTGGCAACCTGAGTATTGCTTTTGGCATTTGCACAAAAACAAATCAGGACAGGTGCCTACATGGGTCTGCAGCTCTGACCTTCCCCTCTCTTTAGCCTAGTCTCAGACAATGCTGCTGCCCCCTGAGGAAGACTGACATTCTGATACCTAAAATATGAAAGACTTGCCGCCTGGGGGTAACTCATTGCTCCTCTAAGGAAAGCATAAGCCCAAATGAGCCAAATCTATAAACATGGGGTTTCAGAGGGACTTTCTTTAAAGTCTATGAAGACAGGGATAGATCCAGAATGTATTTGCTGAATAATCTGAGAAGATGAATTTACAGTTCCAATGAAGCTTCATTGCTTCCCATAGATGCACTGTGCAGCATCAGTACCCCATTTATCCAACAGTCTCTGGAAGTTCCCCCAGAGCTGTTAAAAGGTTAATCAGGAAGTCCTCTCATCTTAGGAAAGATGCAGATGACCACCACTTGCCACAACCACCCAAGAGCAAGAGCCTAAAAGAGTAAGAAACAAGAAAAAAAAATTTATGTTACCCTTAATTCCCGTGAAGGAAGCTGTATTTGTGTAGGAAACCCCCCCTCAGGATAGGAGACAAGACCTCAGCCCCAGCTTTTCTTGAAGAAGAAAAGCTAAAACTATTCCATGCTAGACAAGATGGGTCCCGAAGGGAAGAAGGAGACAGGGAAGAGAAAGGAGAGCGTAGAAGGCTGTACACGCTACCAGAGGCTGTCTCTGGTAACCCCCTAAATCTTTGATAATTCATCAAATGCTTAAAGAAGTGGATTTTTGTTGAATTTGATGATGAGCTTTGTACCATGCTGTGCATGGAGTGAAATCAAAGAAATCATCCTGGAAAGAGGGGTGCAGAGAGAAGCCCAGCAAAATGTGCTTACTGCAGGACACTGATGTTGAATCTGAGTCCAACTTAACCAATTCCTTGAAGGTGCCCAATTATCTGAGTAATTCAAATTTTGGGCTAGTTTTTTTAAAATTTTATTTTTGTTTCTTTCTTGATTATGCAAATGTATTTTGACTAGTGGCCAATGAAGGTAAATTTATCAACTAAAAAGCTGGCCCACAAACAATATGCAGCACCTGTTTCCCATTTGTTAAGTTACATGCTCCATGACGCTATTGTTTAGAGAGATGGACTTGCACATTTTAAAAGAATGGCAACACATAAATAGAATTTTTCTGACATATGGAAAATCTTTTGAGTGCTTTTCCCTTAACTGGTTAAATGACATCCATTCTCATGTTCACAAAGAGACCAAGCACTCTGGAGATCAGCAAAGGACTTCACCAGGGTCAGTGGAGAGAAGTCCTACCTGGAAGAGTCTACTGATTCCATATGTGACAATATCAGCATCTCTAAATGTTTCCAGCCATGAAAGATGAGCACACCCTCTAACAAGAACTTTCTTTCCTTCTCCTTGCAGCAGCAGAAAACCAGCCTGTGAAGCTGACCACAACTGTGTCTGCCTATTAAAGGATAAATTAGGTGACTATCTTATCCACACATGAGTGGTTTAATGCCATCACAGAACAGGAGACTCCAGTCGCCAACACAACACTGGCACGGAGGGCAGCAGTTCCAAACCAATGGATAGCAAAGGTCAGAGGGATGGGAGGGGAAACTAAATAGAAATAGCTTCTCTGCTCCCAATCAGTTCATACCCTTGATAGAGGGAAATGCTGAACCCTTTTTCAGTAGAGACCTTAGCCATGTCAAGTTCCCATATAAAGTGATTTACATGGGCATGTAAATCCTGAAAATGCCCGCATCTCTCATGGAACAGTAACATTAATAGAACCCAAAAGCCTCCTTCGGCAAGGATATAAACTGGGATCCCCTCTTTCCTTCCTCCCCAACCAAGGAGTGGTCAAGCAGAATGGTTTTCTCCTCTGTAAAACACAACAAGATCACCTACATTTTTCACTGCATCAGAAAGGGTTTCTGTAACTTATTTGCTATGTTCCTAATCCCAGAAATCAAAATCTTTAATCCACCCGTCGGTAAAGAGGCTGGGGACGGAGGACAGAGGACTCACCATTTGATTGCTGTACCAGTACAGCGAGGACCCCTTCAGCACCACCCAGAACTTTTTCCATTTGTTGCTTAGGAAAGTCCCCTTTTCCTTTTTCTTATACAGCCACCCTTGGCAGTCAGCGTGTCCCAGATCTTTACAGGATATCCTCCTCCGACTCATGGTAAAAAAACCTGCAACAATTACACCGACAGGTAAGTCTTCCCCCGATTTATGTGAGACCCTAAATCAACTTTTCGTGGTATACCTCCTAGAAGTTGGATTTTTTTTCCCCAAGATTTATGCAAAACAAATGCAAAGAAAAATCATTTGTTTTATTTTTGAACATTCATCTGATGCCCAGAAGGCATAAGACATGGGGCAAAGACACCGTGAGACTAATAGGCAAGTAGTGCTCTAAGAATACTATTCACCAAGAATAAGTTGAAAATTGAACATCTCGAGGCTGGCAGGGACATCGTTGCCGTCACAGCTCCTTTGAACAATGATAGCAGTAGTTATGCAATAGATGTGGAAGGGTTAAACCTCACCTAGCGACACAGCCACTTCCCGACCCGGTGCCAGTTTTTCTGAGCTCTGTTGACATACCACGAGGGATTAATCCAAGTGAACAGCATGTCGTCATTTCTTAAGATCGATCCGAACATCACCAAAAATTAATCTGTCATCCACCTCCTGATATTAACGTTCAGACAGACAAAAATCTGATCCCAAACAAGGCATCCGGGAGAAAAATCCACACTCGTGCACACAAGAGATTAAAGAAACAAAAGAGATCTAATTACCTTGAGTTTTCTTCCTCGGCTTCTGACGCAAGGGAACCTGCTGGAACTGCTGGAAGGAAAGAAAAGAGGAAATTTCTGATTGTGTTGTAACATTTGTAAAGAGAGAAGGAGGGAGGAGGTGGCAGTGTTTATGAGCAGGGTGGATTCTAAAAAAAACTCTCCGAGCAGAGCTAAAGGGGAGCCACTAGCTGAGGCACAAAATGTGCTAATTAGAATCAATATACATTGAGCTGAACCCGAAAAAAAAATGTAACCGGCATTTATCACTAATGTTTCCTGTTTCCACCCACAGGCAGTTCTCACTACTACTTCAGTTCTGATAGCACAGTGCTCACCGAAGTTTTAAGGACTCATCGATATTTCCCCTTTTAATTTTCTGTGAGATAAGGAAAACTATATTCTGCATCATTTCTAAAAATGATCATTTTTAAATACCTGGAAGACAGCAGGGCACAGTGGCACACACCTGTAATCCCAACCACTTGGAGGCTGAGACAGGAGGATCACAAGTTCAAGGGCAGGCCGGTCAACTCTTAGAGATGTTGACTCAAAATTAAAAAATAAAAAGGGCTGGGGATGTAATTCAGTGGGAGCACCTCTGGGTTCAATCCCCAATGCCCACAAAAAAAGGAAAAAATTATTTATAAAAGGAAGACAACTCAAAATATTACAGGTTCATGCTGGTCTAAATTCATGGTCCCACTATCACATAATTTTACTTACACCTAAACCATATGAATTAAATACCCCAAAGAAAGAAATTTCAACTCTGCACAATAGCACAGGCCTGTAATCCCAATGTCTCAGGAGACTGAGACAGCAGGATAGCAAGTTCCAGGCCAGGCTGGGAAATAGGCCCTGTCTCAAAATTTTAAGAGGGGTTGGGGATGTAGCTCAGCAATTAACCATCCCTGGGTTCAATACCTCATACCAGAAAAATGACAATAATAAAAGAAATTTCATATATCTTTTGGTGTGCACTCAGTGACTCTCAAACCTCCTTATCAAGAAATTCTTATTTTAAGCCAAGTTTAAATTTCTTATTCTGTCTTTAGCTCTAAATATTTCTCACGTTTTATGGAGGAAAAATTCGTTATCAACTACTCTTCTGTGCTAACTCTTCAATATTCAAATCAGATATAAGACAACATATTTGAAATACACATATTTTTTCACAACACATTTTAAACAACCCATGTATTACCAGAATACCATCAAAACCAGGAAACACCTCAAAAGAAACAATTCTCAATGGTGTATGTCTATATGCATGTGCAAATATAGAGAATTTTTGCTTAAGGAAATTTCATTTTCCTTCTACAATATCTAAGCTGAATTTATTCAAGCTTAATGAATTTGCCTTTATGCAAATTGTGAATTCAAAAAATTTTAAAGCATACAATTGAAAAATAGTTCTTAAAGTTGGTAATCATGGCATTTTATATTATTCTATATACTTTCTAGTATTCTACATAACTATTGCTCTAATAGCTCTTGTATATGATTCTACTATATTTTTGAAGCATATATGATATACAGTGGAAATGTGATAGTATTTTTAAATCTAGAGGCCCAGAATCAATTATGGCTGTCATAATGAGTAGCTTGTGTTACACAGGGAAAAATCCCTCTGAATCTACTTCCTTATTTGTAAAAACAAGATATTTACAAGAATTCCAATCCTATAATTCTCACACAGATTTGAAGAGTTGTGTAAATGCACGGATAACTAAAAAACATAACTTTATATGAATAAGTGCAATAAAATATTCTATCATTAACATATAAACAAATACATCATATCTAATAAGCAAAAATCTCATAATTTTTTTAGTATCACTTTGTTTCCTTCAGCAATGATGAAGTTCAAATTAAGTCGTATTTCCTGGGAAATATATGTCCTGGGAAATACTGCTCTTTATTTTATGAATGTTCCCTTTTCAAAAGGAATGATTGATTAATTTCTTTGCCATAACTTTTAAGCGAAGACAGACATGTGACATTCATAACATGTTACTAAAGTCTAAGCATGTTATCATGGAAAGGACCAAGTCTCAGCTCTATTTCACAAGTATCTCCCAAATGTCTGCTTCTTGGTCTAAAATCCCTATCATCCTCCTTCTTTTAGTTATAGGTGGGTACAATATCTTTGTTTTATTATTTCATTTTTATGGGGTACTGAGGATCGACCCCAGTGCTTCTTCACGCAGGCCAGGCAAGCGCTCTACCACTGAACCCCAGCCCCAGCCCCAGCCCCTTTTTTAATATGCCAATTATCTGAGATTATTACTAAACCCAATTAGTACCTATAGACAAAATATTTTTGCCCAAAATGTATGGGAAGGTAAAACTTACCCGAGAGCCAGTACTAGAACATGTGAACTTAAACAGTGGGTAACAGATGGAAAATCAGGGATGCAGAGGCCCCCGGGGAGCAATTAAAACAACTAAGAACCAGAGGAACCAGGAGAAAAGAGAGTCATCCACAGTCATTCCTAGACAGCTTGGGCCCCAGGTGAATAAAATGAAATTACATTATTTCAAACAAAAAGAACACCTTAAAGGGAACCAGCGGTAAGTGAGGCAGTCCCTAGGGATCAGTCACAGCATCTGCAAAGGTCGGCAGGAGCAACATGCATTCCATGGCTCCTCACTGGGCCCCAGTGGGTCTCCTCCACCCATCCCTCATGGGCTCTGGTGAGACCCGGGGCTCTCCAGCTCCCTCCATCAAACCCTAGTCCCAAATCAAAGTGTGCGCTCTGTCTCAGTTTTGCCCAAGACCGACCTTGGTGTCTATTCTCTTGCCCAGGCTGGGGTGAGAAGTGAGAGTCCCGAGCAGGGTAATGCAGCCTCAGACAGAGTGGGTGTTTAGTCCAAGCAAGCACCTTGGGCAGCCTTCTTTGAAAGAGGAAGGCAGCACTGGGAGTCAGCCCTGCTCAGAGAGTACTCCTCCTGACGCCAATTTTTATTAACTGTTTAAACGTTTCCCTTGGCCAGAGACAGAGTGCATATTATAGAAATAACACATTATAGGGGTTTCGGTTTCAGTTGATCTATGTGAATTTGAAACCTAAATTGGTTAAACGAGAGGATGAAAACAATCTTTGAAAACTTCACTGAGTCTAAGATAATTTTCCTCCTCACAACAGGAAGTGGAACCCACTAACTAGTCAGTCTCAAGATCTTAATGTGGTTTTCTTCACTAAGTAAGTGAAAGAAGTAAGCAACAAACTCTGAATTTTGAGACAGTTTCTCAAGAGGGGAATTATAATTTGTTATCACCATAAATACTCAGAGCCTAATAAGATATTTTCCCCACACTATTATTTTCCAGTTTGTAGGTAAAATGGAAGACAGATTCGTTTAAAAAAAAAAAAAAAAAAAAAACATAAATCTGCCCTAACTTGGATATAAAATTTGGGGGAAACTCTCCTTAAAAATATTTATTTTCTTTTTATTGAAATACATTTTTGCTCTATTTTTTGAAGAAATGATTCAAAATCTCCATTTGGCCACTAGTCATTCAAAAACACAGAAATATACTAAACAATCAGAATGAAATAAACCAAGGACTCTCCTTTGATATTAAATAATGGAGTCAACACCCAAGTTACAGGTAGTATTGACTTCTAATCTATAAACTAGTTTAGTTGTTAAATCTTGCAGGCACTATTTATCCCATGGTGTATTAAAGTTTAGAATAAGATGGTTTGTCATTGTGACTCAGGTCATTAGCAAAAGTTATACAGTATATACTGGCAAATGGGCTCTCTGGTTGCAGAAGCTCTGATTGATAACATTTGCCGATTTCTGTATTACAATTCTACACATCATTGACAATTTCAACTAACAGTACTTTAGCAACCAAGCCACAAGAATTCCTGAGCTCTAAAGGGTTCCTGTTCTCCATAAACTCCTGACATCTCCCCAAATTCCTCTCCTCCTTCTTTGAAAATTAAATTCACATTTTTAAAGGGAATAGTAAAGTTTTTGATTAGTGAAATTTTACTTGTGATAATATATTTTAAAACTTGCTTGTTATTTTAAAAAACTATGTTAAATATCTGTTAATACATCAATATGAAATGAAAACCCCTAGTAATGAATAATGGAGACAGGTAGAGAAGTCATGGTTTGGATGAGATCACTTGGAGAATGTACAGATGACAAACGCTTCAAGACCAACATATTACAGAGAAGCAAAAAGAGGCACCCATCAGGAGCACTAAGCAGAACAGCCAAAGACAAAATCAGGAGCAGGGGTGTCCTGGAGACAGGGGAGAGGTTGAAGAAAATAGTAGGTTGAGACCATCAAATTCTGCTAATACAAAAGAAAAGGTGCATTGGATATCTTGGCAAGACATCTTCATTGGTAAATGGGTTGGGGAACAATGGGAAATAAAGAAATCAATAGCATTGCAGACTAGTCATCAAGAATCTTTACTGAACAAGAAACATAAATGTGTAGGAAGTCTCAGTGCCAGAGGATGGAGAATATCACTTGCTTCCTCCAAAACCAAGCTTCTATGCTTAAAATCATTATCACAATAAGATACAAATATGTATTTGGAAAGCAATTTTTGACTTATTTTATACTACATTTTGCTTGGGGTTTGACATTATTTTTAAGGAAGTAAAATACAAATACAATTATAATTTCTGTGAACTCCCTCCCTTTTCCATTTCCCTCTCATTCTCCCAGGTCATACTAACCTGAATTCCTCATTCCCATACATTTTCGTATGGATAAACAGTTTTTTAACAATATTAAAACAATAGCATTAATATAGACCATCAATTTTTGATATTGTTTTGACATTTTTCCTTGTTGATACATGTGGCTCTAGCTCACTTTCAATGCTGCCATAAATAAAATTGTCACAATCTGTTGATCCATTTATCTTTTCGTGTACATTTAAGTTGTTTACAGTTTGCCCTATCACAGCAGTGTTGCAATTAACAACTCTAGAATTCCCATTGTGCATGTATACATGTTTTTCTGGATTGCATATTTATCTGGAAATGGAACTGCATGGTAATAAGATATGT